CCCCCCTTTTTTTTTCAATACAAATTGGTCAGCAGGAGATTTGAAGCCAGGTGTGGCGCCGTGCATCATTAATATTCATTATCCATTATTGATAAAAAAAACAAAAAACAAATAACTTGTAGTATTGTCAAGACTTAAGACTGTCCCAGTTTAGGTTCGCTTCCGGTTCTTCTAACTGAGGGGCTTCATCATCTGACAGACCTACACCCATTGTCAGCCACCACCCAATGGTCTTTGTCCAATTGACTTTCATCTCTGATGCCGCCTTTCTGAATGCATCCATGGACCTTACAAGAGCCCTAAAAGGCTAGTAAAAGCAGAATCTGAAAAATAAAGTTGACCTCAGCAGCAATTCTAGTGCGCACTGTGCACACCATCATTCATCAACCAGGCAGGTACTGAGTCTACTGACCCATGTTTTGAGGGCTCAGCCCTTTTCAAGTTTTGTCCAGTAATAATTTCATTAATAATGAATGAATCTGCATTCGTTTTTAGGATGCAGAGTCATTGCAGAGTCATTAATGAATGAAATTCAATTATAATTATTTTATTAATACATCAATTGAAAAGTTGAGAACTTGAAAAATGGTTTATGCCTCAAAACATGACCTCCAAAGCAGTCCATACGAAGAGTGGACAGAAAGGCATAGTGCATCAATGCAATTGCAATCAAAACTACAGTACGAGAACCCCAACAACTTCCAGCAAGTTTTGACAGAAGTTGCTGGAATAGGAAGGAACGTAGATAGACACTGTGTCTATGTGTCTATGTTCTTTCCTATTGAGGCATTCACTATTCCAGAAAGTTTTGTTGACCTGTGTCTATGCAATCTCCCTTTTGATGATGACAGAAGCCGTCTTGATATGCGGTTTTAGTATATTACCCTGTGTCTATGCTCTTTCCTATTTTGGCAAACTTCTCAAGACAGAATGGTAAACAGCTGGGAAGGAGTCCTTTGGCCTATGCAAAAGGGGAAAGCGTAGAGTGGGTCCCATCAGGCCCTTGATATGTAACTCGCCGGTGTGAAAAGCAATCGGAACCAATGGTCCCCAGAATGGACAAGGAGGAGCCAGGACCATCCATAAGGAGCTGTTTCAAAAAAAAAAAAAAAAAAAAAAAAAAAAAAGAAGAACACCGGACAAATCTGCGAAGCTTACCCCCATGGTTTAAGAGCACTAGGGCGATTGTCACAGTACCAGGTCTACTGTGGCCTATATAGCATGCAGTGTGAGAAAGGTGCATCTAGTAAATGAATCGAAGGGAAAGCCTCCAGACTAATCTGTGGCTTGGCGACCGGGTTGAAATTTCTAATTCCAAGTTTAGTGGCTTGGATATCATTCATAAAAGATCTGAGTGAGGGTTTATCTATCTTTAGTTCAAGCATGGTTAAGGGCTGTCTCAAACATTACCATTCGTTCGTTCATACCTTCACATATTAATTAAGCTATGGTTAGGGAAAAAAAAAAAAAAGAATGTGTCTTGACACTCGAACCATGGGATCGTAACAAGGTGGCAGTCAAATGGGCCCTGGCTTCCATAAGGTGCAAGGTGTCCAATTGGAGTTCCAAAATTGCCAAATGGGATGAGCCCCACTTTCTAGGATTTGGCACACAAAGCCTGCAGAGTCTGCAGACTCTTGTGAGTATCCAACGACATGAAGGATGAGGGGATGACTATTGAAGAGAGGGTGTGGCATACCTGAAGAAGGCAGTCTGGGGGAGCCATTGGACATATATACCGAGGAAGGAAAACAGCAGTGCCTTCTGGGTCGGTCGCCATGGCCTTAATTACTCTACCCTTGCAAATCGGATTTGCAAACAGGGATTTCTCCCATTGGATGACAAGCCTTGCGATCTCACCCTCTTCGCCGCATTGCCAGTCGTCCAGGACCTGCCACATGGCTTCACAAATCCCCCATGCAAGTCCCATCCCAGGTCCCGTTTCCAGTGTTGTTGGAAGCCCCAGTTCCTCCGCCACCCCCCACTTCCAAAGGTTCATGTCCAGGCCCCCTCCCCCCCACAATTACATACCACCACGCCCACTTCTCGTGAGAATGGGTCCTTGCCACCCAATCAATAGCAAATACGCACCATCATACGTCAAACCCCCACCACTGCATTTGAGAGTCAAAGGGGGAAGATCAGGGGCATAAAGACGCTAAACAGTCTAAACCACCATTTACACGGCCCCAGCCTTGCAGAATTCTACTTGTTGCCACCGCACTGTAGCACCAGAACAATCGATGGCGTCCGAAGCGTTACCAGCCTCTGAAAGAGGCCTGCGGCCGATGTATGGGTGTACTGGTGGTCTGAACCACGATTGCATGCAAAGAAGCCGGTAAAGGAAAACGAAAACCAGAATTGCATTTGAGAGCATACTTGCAAGCAGACGGACCGGACGAGCGTCCGGTCCGGTCCGCTTTGCCGCGTGCGGCACCCTCCCCCCGGACCGGACGGGGCCATTTTATTTTTTTTTGGGGGGGGGGTGGAGCGTAACTGGTCGTTGGGCGCACATTCGTGCGCCACACGGGTCCGGTCCGGCGGTCTGCTGCATGTGCGGAACCGCCCGGACGGCGTCCGCTTGCAAGTATGTTTGAGAGGCAAGCTGGCAGATCACCGGCACACACAGACATTTAAAACCACCACTGGATCCAAACCAAAATTGTCGAACCTGGTTTTTGCTAGACCCTGAATGTCTGAGACCATCATCACTGGGTTAGGCGTATTGGAGGCCGCCACTTCAAACCACCTGTACGTGGCCCAGCAATTTTTCTCCAACGCGGCTGTTGCAAAAGTTCTGTTTCT